TTTTATTATAAATTTTTATTTTTATTTTTTGTGAACATACTGTACAGAGGGGTTACAATTACATGGGCAAGATAATGAGTACATTTCTTATCAAGCATTGCAGCCTCCTCCTTTGTTTACCCTTCACATCCCTTCTCAGCCTCCCCCCATCCATGACCTTCATTTTGTGTAGGAAGAGGATATAGTACTTTCTTCTATCAGTGAAATACTGACATATATTTTATAGAGGATTTATCCAAGGGTTAAACCTTTAAATTTTCTGAACTTTTACTCCCCACTTCCTTCCCTCCCTCCTCCCACCTACTAGTGGCACTGCAGTTTGAACTCAGGGCCTTGTGCTTACTAAGTAGACACTCTACACTTGAGCCATGCCTTTAGCACTCATTTTCTCTTTTGATAAAACATTCAGAAAGCATTTATTAAAAGGGGGTACAAGAAATTACCATCATATCCTTATTGGGGATAATAGTTGGAGTTTTATATCGCAGATGACATTGTGAGATTTCTCCTCTGGTTGTTTTCTGATCAGGTAGCCTGATGGAGCACCTATCGAAAGGGTTGGTATACCCTAATGAGGCGGTGCAATCTTCCATCTGTTATCTCTATGGGAAGCTCTATTCTTCACCAGTAGCAGCCAAGATGCTTTCAGGCCATTTCCGGGAGAAGTTGTGTCCACTTTTCTTTTCTATCCTGGAGAGTGCCCAAGCAAAGGAGCTACAGATCAATTGCTTGGGTGAGACAATGGAGTTGAATGAGAAAAGGAGAGCAAGCTTTTCAGCGTTTGCTTGAGAACTTGTGATATAGCTTCTCTAGTTGCAAGGGGTGTGTGTGTGTGTTTGTGTGTGTGATACTGGCATTTTGAAAAGGTAGAAGCCATAAATTTGGGAGATAAGATGCAGAGGCTGTGTGAAAGATGCCTACAGTTGGTGTGGCATCTTAACAGTGTTGTCTTTGGGAGGAAAGAAAGTAGGACGCTACCTCAGGCCATTACTGCCAGTATTTGCTGCCAGTATTTTGGTCGGTTGTGAACTCTGGGCCTGGACACTGTTCCTCAGCTCTTCAGCTCAAAGCTAGTGTCTTACCACTTGAATCACAATGCCACTTCTGGCTTTTTTCTGCTTATGGTGGTGCTGAGGAATCGAACCCAGGGCCTCCTACCACCGAGGCAACTTCCCAGCCCCCAAGTTAATCTTTATAACAGGCACGTTTCTTGTCAGAAAAACCTCCCATGGCTCCATCTAGCCTCCAGGGTAGAGTCAGGGTTTCTCTTCTTGTTATTTATGGCTTTATTTCTCTTCTCTCCCTTCACTTTTCCCCTTTAATATTTAATATTCTGATTTGCAATGTTTGTCTACCCGTTAAATTATATGTCACATAGAATGCCTTGGTGGCATTCTTTGACATCCTGGATGTCCTGGATGGATCCTAGAATCCTTAACATTAACTTTCTGGTCTTTAATAGTGTAACTATTTCAGCCGGGCACCTGTGGCTCACGCCTGTAATCCTAGCTACTCAGGAGGCTGAGATCTGAGGAACAAGGTTCAAAGCTAGCCTGGGCGGGAATGTCTGTGAGACTCTTATCTCCAAATAACTACCAGAAAACCAGGAGTGGCACTGTGGCTCAAGTGGTAGAGCACTTGCCTTAAACTGAAGAGCTGAGGGACAGCGCCTAGGCCCAGAATTTAAGCCCTACAACTGACAGAAAAAAAAAAAAAAGCTAAGCAAGAGCTTGAGGTCCTGAGTACAAATCATGGTACCAGCACCAAAAAACAAACAAACAAAAACAAATGTTTTTTAAAAATGTTTTTATGAGATGAACTCCTATTGTATTGCCTGGGTTGGCTTCAACCTCTCAGGCTCAAGTAATCTTCCTGCCTCAGCCTCTTGATTGGCTGGGACCACTGGTTTATTCCATAATACTTCCATAATACCTGGCTTTGGGTGACTTTTTTTTTTTTTTGGTCTGAGACTGGACTTGAATTTGGTTCCTGACACTTTTGCTCATTGACTAGCACTCTACCAACTGAGCCATGCCTCTAAACCCTGGGTGACTTTTTTTTTTTTTTTTTTGCTATCCTGGGGCTTAAACTCAGGGCCTGGACACTGTCCCTGAGCTTCTTTTGCTCAAGGCTAGCACTCTACCACTTGAGCCCCAGCACCACTTCAAGCCTTTTCTGTTTATGTGATACTGAGGAATTAGACCCGGGGCTTCACGCACACTACAACTAAACCATATCCCTAGCCCCCAGATGACTTATTTTTATGTTTGTTTCCCACCCAGGAGTGTATGATCCATCTGTCAGTCAGAATACATGTATTGAGGTTCTGGTTGTGTGTCAAAAACAGGTGACTGATAATGTAGTAGTAAAACTGATATTATTCTTACATTATTCCCTTATATAACTTAGAATTCATTAAGAGTGATTATGATTGTCTACTGTTAAATCCTGTAGTCTCTAGTGTGGCACTTAGTAAGTTCTCATTAGACCCTTGTGGGAAGGCTGAGTGATAGAAAGCAAATCAGTACTTAAGGATTCCAACCATTCTTCTATTTACAGAGACAAGAAGTGTCTTGGGGGGGGGGCTGTTTTAGGGCTGTAACAGACATACTCCTGATCCTGTGCACCTCTCACCTCACTTTTTAACCTCTTTGCTTCCTAGGTTTGCTGAGGCAGCTGCTGAAGTATGACCTCTTTGTGTCCTTGCTTATGAGCAAGTCTGTGCTCGTGGAAAGTGCTAAGACCATCAAAGCGTCACAAGGAGAGACCTCACTGCCTTTGGTACTCAAAAAGGTAGTTGATGGGCCAGGGATGTAGCTTAGTGGTAGAGCACATGCTCATGATAGATGAAATTTGTTTTTTGGTGATCCCAGCACCATAACCAAAAAGTAGTTGTCTTGTGATTTGTAGTCCCTAGGTTCAATAACAAGAAATCCCAAGTGCTTCCTGAGTGTTTAGGATTTCTTTTCCTTCCTTCCTTCCTTCCTTCCTTCCTTCCTTCCTTCCTTCCTTCCTTCCTTCCTTCCTTCCTTCCTTCCTTCCTTCCTTCCTTCCTTCCCCTCTCTCTCTTTCTTTCTTCCTTCTTTCCTTCCCTTCCTCCATTCTTCCCTCCCTCCCTTCCCTCCCTCCCTCCTTTCCTTCCTTTTCATTGTCTCTCTTTTTTCCTCCTTCCTTCCCTTCTTCCTTTCTTTCTTTTCCCTTGAGATATTGGGGTTTGGTTTTAAGCTTGCTAGGGCAGGTGTGCTCTATCATTTGAGTCATACCCAACCTTCGGTTGTGAATTACCTTTTTTTTTTTTTTTAAATTTAGTGCTGATCCTGGGCCTTAAACTCTTATACAGCCTTCTTCCCTGTCCTGAACTTTTTTGCTGTACTACTTGAGCTACAGCTCCATTTCTGTTTTTTTTTTTTTTTAATTGGAGACTGGAGTCTCATGGACTTTCCTACCCAGCCTGGCTTTGAACTATGATCCTCAGATCTCAGCCTCCTGAGCCTCCTGAGTAGTTAGGGTTATGGGTGTGAGCCATGCATAATCTTATCTCTTTATCTTCCTCTTTGCTTTTGAGCTGCCTGAAAATGGAGAATGCATATAGCAACAGAAACAAAAGTATTCTAGTTGTTTTAATATAAGCTTCTTCATTTAGCACCAAAGACTTCTTTATCTGGATCCTAAGCAACCCTTCAGCTTCACTTGTCTCTTCCATCTTACAACCCAGCAAGCACTTCAACCTTCTGCATGTTGCTCTGGTCTTGAATGAGCTAGGTCATCCTTGTCTGTGCAGATACTCTTCCCTCAGTTTTTTCAGCCTTCTTCCCTCTTTGTTAATCCAATTAAGCTTGAAATCCCGAGAATTTCCTTTTATTTTTATTTTATTTTTTTATTTTTTGGGTCTGGACGTGGGGACTGAACGCTGGGCCTGGGTGCTGTCCCTCAGCTCTTCAACTCAAGGCTAGCGCTCTTACCACTTGAGCCACAGCGTCACTCCGGCTTTTTTCTTTTTGCTTATGTGGTGCTGAGGAATTGAACCCAGGGCCTCAGGCATGCAAGGCAAGCGCTCTACCACTGAGCCATCTTCCCAGCCCCGTGAGGCTTTCCTTTTATGTAGGCTTCTTTAGGGAGAATGTGTCCATCTGTCATGTGCTTTTTTCACATATTGTGATAGACTGATAGTGTAGGTCAGTATTCAGCCCAGGGCTGGAGAGAACTATGTAGCAGGAGGTAACTGACTAGACTTTTGGCTCCCTCTGCAGGAAGGAGGAGGAGCTCTGGTCAGAAGTGAGAAAGGGTTAGTACTGATAAAAATTGTATTGATAAAACTAAAGCAAACTGCTTCCTGGGGTGCTTCTAGAATAGTTCATGCAAGGCCTGTATCTCTAAGCTAGAAAACAAATATCACTTCCCTGTCTATGCATATTTCTCTGGTACCATACTGGAATTCCTGTTAATATATGGTTAGAATGTTTGATCCTGGGCCTAACAGGGGCAGCAGGACTTAGGAAAAGGGGTCTCACAGTCCACTCAAACAGTATAGTGCTGGTAGAAATAGTGATAAAGGACATTTTCCTGGGGAAAGAGAATTTGGTAGAGACAAGAATACTGGCTAAGAGGCTCTGGCCTCCACCTGTACGTGGAAACTTTGTCCATTGACAATGTAGGATGATCAGGACTTTATTTTACCGTCACCTTGAGCAAAACTGAAACTAGAAGAGCAAGTAAGATACTTTCCTTATTTGAAAATTTTAAGTGCTTGAACAAAAAAAGTAACAATAAAGATAAATAAGATATCTTGTGAGTTTGAAATTGCCTGAGCTACTTGGTGAGACCCTATCTCAAAAAAACAAAAACAAAACAGAAGGCCGGGCACTGGTGGCTCACACCTGTAATCAGAGCTATTTAGAAGGCTAAGATTTGAGGATCTTGATTCAAAGCCAGCCCTGGGAGGAGATTCTGTGAGATCCTTATCTTCAGTAAACTACTTAAAAAACTTGAAGAGACATGGATTCAAGTCCCAGAACCAACAAAAACAAAAAACAAAATGGAACTTAAAAAAGTAAATATTTGATGAACGTGGGCTTTGACCCAAGATCCTCAGCTTTCCAAGTACCTAGTATTTCAGGTATGAATCACTGGTTTCCAACTAACTCTATTACTTTTTATTTTTTTATTTCCTGAGACAGGGTTTTGCTGTGTAACTCAGACTAGCCTCAAACTTGTGATATTTCTGCCTTAGCTTTCCAAATGGTGGGATTGCAAGCATGTACCACAATACCTGGTTGTTAACTCATTGATAAACTGGAAAAGTGAAGCTAAAAATGGGACCTCCCTTGGCTTTTTTTTGTCATGGGGTTTGAACTCTGGGCCTGGGTACTGTCCCTGAGCTCTTCAGCTCAAGGCTAGCACTCTACCACTTGAGTCACAACATGACTTCCAGTTTTCTGGTGGTTTATTAGAGATAAGTCTCAGGGACTTTCCTGCCTGGGCTGGCTTTGAACCATAATCCTCAGATCTCAGCCTCCTAAGTAGCTAGGATTACAGGTGTGAGCCAGCAATGCCCAGCTAGTTTTGGTGTTTTTTGAGTGTCATTGGTAGGTTTTTACATTGTATTCTTCCATTATTTCTCACTTTGTTGTTCAGAGACACCTTTCCAAAATGAATAACTGTTCTTAGGGATGAATTGGGCTCCTGCCCTGATGTATTCAGGCTAGGTCTGCTCTCCTATTAGTGGTGTGACTAAGTTTTTTTTTTTAACTGTCTCTTCAGTTTCTTCTTTCCAGAGATGAGATCTTGCAAGTGGCAAGTACCCACTGTATAACTGCAGTGCTGGTCCACTCCCCAGTGAAGTATGCCCCTGCCTTCATCCATGCTGACATCCCAGGTAAGGGGGCAATTTAACATTGTCTCAGTTCCCCAGAGCTCTGACAAGAGCCTTGAGAGTCATAGCAGATACCTTGTCATGGAATCGTTGATAACCCTCACTGGAGGGATATGGTGGGGACAGGGGTCAGCTGTGTGTGAAATAGGCCTCAAAACATCTGAATTTACTTGCCACAGATTTACTACATGACACTGAATAATTTATTATTGACCTTTGTCATTTATTTGATCCTTTTTTTTTGTATATGAGCCTCTACTGGGGATGTGCCTTAGTTTTTATATTATTTTTAATTTTTTATTGTTATTATGAAGGTGATGTACAGAGGGATTACAGTTACATAAGTCAGGTAAAGAGTACATTTCTTTTTGGAAAATGTCATCTCTTCCCTCGCTTTCTCCCAGTTCCTTAGTTTTTAAGGCTTAAGGTTAGTATTCTAACATTGGAACCTGAGGTTGAGATCTAAGGATCACAGTTTGGGCCACAACTCTATTTCTGGCTTTTTGCTGGGTAATTAGAGATAAGAATATCATGGCCTTTTCTGTCCAGGGTGGGTTTGATGTGCAATCTTTGGAACTCAGCCTTTTGAGTAGATAGGATTATAGACATGAACCACCAGTACCAGGCTTATTTGATCTTCGAGCAAAAACTTAGTGTGGGTGGCAGAAATGCAAATCCAAAAAACAAAGGGAAGGGAAGTAATGTTTCTGTAAGAGCTATTAGGAACCAGGAAATACATCCTGAGACGCTAGCAAGTGTTATCATATTTAGGTGCTCATCTTTATATTTTATTTTTTTTGGGGGGGAGGTCCGGTCGTGGGGCCTGAACTCTGGGCCTGGGCGCTGTTCCTCAGCTTTTCAGCTCAAGGCTAGCGCTCTACCACTTGAGTCACAGCGCCACTTCTGGCTTTTTTCTTTTTGCTTATGTGGTGCTGAGGAATCAAACCCAGGGCCTCAGGCAGGCAAGGCAAGCGCTCTACCACTGAGCCAACTTCCCAGCCCCTATATTTTATTTTTTGTAAAGCAGGATTTCAACCCAGGGCTTGTACATTCTACATCAAGCGATATCCCCAGCCGATCTTTGTTATTTTATAGATGACTGATTTTTTTGAGGGGGAAGGGAGAATGCATGGAGATGGCCACATCCAATTACCTATTTTCTACAGAGGATGTGGAAAAGTGAAAATGTAGAAAATTTTGACCGGTTGTAAGTGATTATTGAGGAGAATTGAGGGTCAGATAAGGAATCAGTGATTAAAATCAGTAAGGCCAGTTATTGACAGAGGTAGGATATAAGGTCAATTTTTTTTGTCAGGGGTGGGGTTTCAGTTCAGGGCTTGGGTGCTGTCCCTGAGCTCTTTTTGCTCAAGGTTAGAGCTCTGTCACTTTGAGCCACAATTCTACTTCTTTCAGTTTTCTAGTGGTTAGTTGTAGATGCAAGTCTCAGGATCTTTCCTACCTGGACTGGCTTTGGACCACAATCCTCAGATCTCAGCCTCCAGTGTCCAGCAAGGTCAAATGTCTTTGACTCTAAAAATCCTTTTTTCACCACATGCTAGTGGCCAGTAATCCTGGCTACGCAGAAGGTTGAGATCTGAAGATTGCCTTTTGAAGTCAGACTGGGCAGGAAAATTCATGAGACTCTTATCTCCAATTAACCAGCACAAAACAAGAAGTGGAGCTGTGGCTCAAGTGGTAGAACACTAACCTTGAGCAAAAATGCTCAGGGACAGTGCCTAGGCCTTGAGTTCAAGCCTTAGGATTGGAGTGAGTGCACGCGTGCGCACGCACACACACACACACACGCATACACACACATACATGCACACACACACATACACACACACAGTAATAACTTAGATTAGAACCCTGAGGATACTTTCCAGATTTGTATGTGCGTTGATGACCATGTCCATGGAGAAGGGTACATGAACAGATAAATAGGAATATGCTATATAAATCCAGACCCTTACATCAGCTAAAGGACGTATCTCCTGGCTATCGTTTATTGTTTTCTCCTTTTCTCTCTGGCCAGAATTCCTCTTTGAGCATCTTTCTTCTTCCAGTGAAGTGCTTGTCTGGTCTACCTACAACTGCTTGATACTCCTGACAGAAGAACCACTCTTCTTTTCCAAGTGCCATACAGTATATGGTTGGTAGTACAGGTCCTGTGCTATCTCCCAGTCTTCTGGACAGCAATTTAGGGTTGGGCAGTGGTGGGCTTCCTTGGGGAAGGAGTGCTGGCCCTGGTTATTCCTGTCAGCTCAAACTCAATACCAGGTTTTTTATGTAAGCATTGATATCCATATAGTTCTGCTGTTTACTGGTTAGCAGAATCGTATACATTTAGACTCTAGCAAGGGAAGAACATGCCTATTAGCTACTAAATGAATTCCAGTTGATACTCAGCTTTGGCTTCAGTTCTATGATGCCCTTATCTGTCTATACAATAGTCTCTGAATATTGTTAATTTATACTTGTCTATCCAATAGTCTCTAAATTTTGTTAATTTATCCTTTCAAAGTCTCCTGAAATCATTCATATTTATGATCAAATATGGATTTTTAGACTAGAAACAATGATTCATTTTGTATTTATTCTATGCTCCTAGTCTGTACCAGGTATCAAACCTGGAGATTTAGAAATACGTATAATATGTTCCTTGCTCCCAGCAAGGGGAAAGAGGTATAAACAGGAAATTTTAAATTAGCTGATTTGTGTTGGCCTAAAGGGAAGCAGGAAATGCTCTGGGGAAGTTCACAGCTTTGCCCAGTGGATCAAGGAAGGCTTCCTGAGCGGAGCAGAGGTTCAACCTGATTTGTCAAGGGAGACTAGGAGTATGCTGAATGGGGAAGATGTGGACTGGTCAGTTGATGATCCCTATATACCTCATATGACTAGGCGGTAGCTGGGCTAGTATAGGGGACAGAGGAGACAACAGGAATCAGATGAGGGCCTGCCCTTGAAGATCTGTCATGTCTCATCAGCTAAGTCTTGTTAGTGTTACTCCATGAGGGGTCTCCCAGCTAGTAAGTGCTGTCCAAAGTGTGTCACCTCTCTTTGGGGGTAGTGGGGAAACTGTAGAACACTGATCGTTGGCCTGTGTCATGTCATCCTGAGGTAGGGATCGAGGCAGTGGTCAGGAGCCTTCAAGGAAGCTTGAAGATGACCAACACAGAGCTGCATAAGCAGGGCCTGCTGCTCTTTGCTGAAATTCTGACTCGGTGAGCAAACTGGTGGGACATCAGACTGTTGAAGGGAAATTGAGCTGGTATTCCTAGTGAGATTAAGATAGGAGTTTACCCATTTGCTTCTCATCTACAATTTGCTAGGCAACCAGAAGAGATCAGGCTGTTCACAAGTTCAGCTTTGTGTGGAGATGCTGGCCGTGCCCTCCAAGAGGCAGTGAGCAGTCCAGTCCTGGAGGTGGCTACTGAAGCAGTGAAGGCCATTTCTGCTTTCCTGAGGTGGGTGATCCTAGCAGGCTGATCCTTCTCCGGCGTGTACTTTAGAGGCTGTCAAGGACAGGCATCTTCCTAGGATGTTCTTTGTGTGTGTGCACACGCACACGTGTGTGTGCATAATTTTCCTTTGCCTTTTTCTGGTAAGAGTTCTTGTGATGATATTCAGGGCCAAGATGGATAATATAGGATAATCTTACCTCAAAATAATTTTCACAAGCACATGAAAACTTTACCAGGTTTCAGGCATAAAGACCTGACACCTTGAGTACCAGGAGTCTCACTATGTTTCCCTGAGCTCCAGTCTACATTTCCAACTTCTCAGGGCCCTGCTTATGTTTTCGCTTAGATAGCAGGAACACGGTCCTGCTTATATTTTAGCTTAGATTTTTAAACTCCAGAACTTTGAGAAAATAAGCTGCCATTGTTTTAAGCCACTCATTTTGAAGTAATTTATGATAGCAGGCCTAGGCAACCGGTAGCTACTTAAGTAACTACACAATATTTTTTTATTTGGTATCAATTCACAAATTCATCTTTATAAATTAAGTGGCCTCTTGGAGCTAACAATTAGACTAGTAAATGACTCTTGTCTCCACCGAGTCTATATTTATATAAGGGTTTAAATGAATCCTAAGTGTTACCTGTTCTTATTTATTCCATACACATAATGTTCGCCTCTCTAAAAATAGTTTTCTAGTCTCTTATAATCTCACAGAATAGGGAATTCACATTTGCTTAGCTAGTTTCCTCTTTTTTTGTGGGGGGGGTGGTCCGGTCGTGGGGCCTGAACTCTGGGCCTGGGCGCTGTCCCTCAGCTCTTCAACTCAAGGCTAGCCCTCTACCACTTGAGCCACAGCACCACTTCTGGCTTTTTTTCTTTTTGCTTATGTGGTCCTGGGGAATCGAACCCAGGGCCTCAGGCATGCAAGGCAAGCACTCTACCACTGAGCCACCTTCCCAGCCTAGTTCCCTCTTTTTCTATATAGTTTGGCTCATACTACTAAAATAAAGTCTTGTTCCTAATAACATTTACCTATTGATACTGATTTTCTCTATTGAGGTCACCAAGAGTTAGGTTGTTCTGTCTGCCCAGGGATCTTATCACTTATTTGAGAGCAGTGGTCTTTGCACCTCTTGATACACCTTCAGTTCCTCATAGTGCTTCTTTTACCAAGTAGCCCTAGATGGTGAAAACTTCTCTGTGTCTTTAATACACTTAACCAACATGGCTGGAGTTTATAAAGATTTGCTAGATATTAGATACTGTGCTGGGGCTAGGAAGGTGGCTCAGTGGTAGAGTGCTTGCCTTGCATGCATGAGGCCCTGGGTTCGATTCCTCAGCACCACATAAGCAGAAAGAAAAAAGCTGGAAGTAGTGCTGTAGCTTAAGTGGTAGAGTGCTAGCCTTGAGCTGAAGAGCTGAGGTATAGCGCCCAAGCCCAGACTTCAAGCCCATGACCGACACACACAAAAAAATATTATTTATGGCTTATGCTTTAGCAACTTAGAATCTGACTGATATGTATTGTCTTGTAATTGTTGGCTGTTAGTGACCCTATGGACTTAAAATACTGTCATGGTGAATGCTGATTATGGCTTTCAGGATTAATCTCTTACAACAGGCTAATGTTAACCTGCCTGTAACCTACATATACATACATCTGGTTCTGAGGGAGACTGGGTTAAAGTTTCCCCCTCTATTTTTTTTTGACTGTCATGGGGCTTGAACTTGGGCCCTGGGTACTATCTCTGAGCCTTTTCAACCAAAGCTAGCATTCTACCACTTTGAGCCACAATGCTACTTCCTCCCCTTCAGTTATTAAAAGACATACTTGGTTACATTTGCTAGGATATAACCTAGGTTCCCTAAAAAATTAGGTACATGGGAATGGCAGACAGTGTAAATAGAAGAGTTCTGAAGTAATTCAAGCACAGACTAGGACCCAGAGTCAGATCTTTTTCTTCTTTCTTTCTTTCTTTCTTTCTTTCTTTCTTTCTTTCTTTCTTTCTTTCTTTCTTTCTTTCTTTCTTTCTTTCTTTCTTTCTGTTGGTTGTGGGGCTTGAACTCTGGGCTTAGGTGCTGTCCCTCAGCTCAAGGCACAAATCTAGTGCTCTACCACTTGAGCCACAGAGTCACTTCCGGTTTTCTGAGTGGTTTATTGAAGATAAGAGTCTCATGGAGTTTCTTGCCCCAGCTGGCTTTGAACAGGGTCCTCAGATCTCAGCGTCCAGAGTAGCTAGGATTACAGGCTTGAGCCACTGGGGCTTGTCCAGAGTCAGATCTTAACCTATAGATTTCTTTATCCTTACTTCAGGGGCATGCCTGCAGCAGAAATTCAGAGAAAGCCATTATTCGAAGGGGAAAGTTCCTCCAGAGCACTCTGGAAGGATTTAGAAAAGCCTGCAGGTGAGGAGGACTCTGGGGATAAGGCAATAGCTAGGAAGGTAGGGGAGGAAGGTATTTAGACAAAAGATAAAGTTTTAGAAACAACATTTAATTTCTGATGCTTTACTGCATATTTAGAAGGCTTGGCTGGGGTTGGGATTGGAGATGTTTGAGGACAGAGTGTTTCAAAAGATTCTCTTTTGGTGATGTCTGCTACTGTGCCATGAGATTGTGTGTTAGTGACCTTTGTTCCTTTTCCCCAATTGCCTCTCACTGTAGCTATTCACTGAGTAAGATATTATTCACTTAACAGATGTTTGTTGTAGGGCTGGGAAGGTGGCTCAGTGGTAGAGTGCTTGCCTTGCATGCCTGAGGCCCTGGGTTCGATTCCTCAGCACCACATAAGCAAAAAGAAAAAAGCTGGAAGTGGCGCTGTGGCTCAAGTGGTAGAGCGCTAGCCTTGAGCTGAAGAGCTGAGGGACAGCGCCCAGGCTCAGAGATCAGGCCCCACGACCGGACCCAAAAAAAAAAAACAAAAAACAAAAAAAAAAACCTGATGTTTGTTGTATCTCCTGTGTAACAGGCAGGCTTAGTGCTAGCCAGAGAGTATAGAAAGTTAAGTTAGAATAACTCTTGTCCCCTGGAGCTTAGAGTCTTTTTGGGAAGAGATAGCTTTGAGTATCTAGGTAGAATTTGCTGGGCTGTCGGAATCCAGGAAGGTATTCCAGATAGAGAAAAGCAGCATAAGGAGAGATGTGAAACAGCAGATAGCACGGATGTTCGGGGAAGTACACATGCTTGGAAGAGTCATGTATGATGGGTCAACAGAAGGCTGGAGAGGTAGCCAAGGGCCCGATCCTCTCCTCAATGAGATCTCTTAGATTTTCCTCACATATGATGGTGTGAATATATTCCTTGGATTCTGAGCTCAGTCATCTGTTAGAATACACCACCCTTAGGTTGTATGGGTAGTAGTGGATGAACTCACATATTGATTTCTCAGATTGGCTGTGGAATTCCAGAATGAGCCTTTGGCCCAGGAGAATCCCTTTACAGCTCCCAGTGCAGAGAAGGAAGATACCCTGGAGGCTTTTTCAGAATTTCTTCTCAGAGCCTGTGACTCTCTATGTATCCCACTGGTGATGGTGAGTTCCTCTGAGCCACAGTAGCACGAAGCTTGGGAGAAAATTTGAAGATGAGTCAGGCTGACAGGCCCAGGTAGAAACAACTCAGTTGGCCTCAGTGATGTTATTTTTAAGATTTTATTATTGTTACTATAAACGTACAGAAGGATTAAAGTTACATAAAGTGATATTATTTTTGTAACTAACTTTTATTTGGTTTAAAAATATAATGTTTCACTATAAAACTAGTAGATGACTCTAAAGAAAGTAGAAGTCAGTAACAGTCAAATAATAAATAGGTAATGTTTACAATGTGATAATATATTACAATGTCTAATTTTATATTCATTACCTAATTTTATTCTTAAACATGGCCCTGGGAGTTGGGTGCTATAATTTTTGTAATATCTTGCTACCTCCCTCTTTAGACTCTCTCTCCAAAACAGGCAAGCATGCTACCACTTGAGCCATACCCCCAATCTCCTTTTGCTTTTGTTATATTTTCTACTAGAATCTTACTTTTTGCCTGCGCTGGCCTGAATCATGATCTTTCTGTTTATACTTCCCATGTAGCTAGCATGAGAGGCACACACTATTGTGCCCATATTTTTATTGGTTGAAATGGAGCTTTATGAGAATTTCTCCCAGGGCAGCGTAGTACTACAATCCTCCTGAGTAGCTAGAATTTCAGACAAGATCGCCATACCCCCTATTTAGAAAGCATTTGCTTTATAGCAGACCTCATTTGTTTCTGGGAGATAAGTCTTGTTACTCATTTTTGTTTGGAGAAGTGGGGACAGAAGTCTACAGAATAAAGTATCTAGTTTTAGCTTTTAAGTAGCAGATCTAAACTGTAAAATATAGGTTTGTAACTTCATGTTCTCTAGCTTGTCTTTTGCCCTTCAAGTAAAAGCAGTTAATCTACTGTTGTAAGATTTGATGTCAGTCTTTACTTTTCTTCTTTAGAGACTCATTCCTGGTGGCCTGTATTCTTTCTTGTGTTTTAGACATACTTGGAGCAGGCCACCCATCCAGCTTTAATGGAAACTTTTTTCTCGATTCTGTACAACCTCTTTGTCATCGTTCCTCACATGAAGGAAAGATTCTCCAAGAAGCTTGGTAGGTAGCAGGCAGTGTGGAACCTGGTAGAAAGGTACACACTATACGAAACTAGACTAGGAAGTGGAGCTGTGGCTCAAAGTGGTAGAGAACTGGCCTCGAATAAAATAGCTCAAGGATAGCACTAAGACCCTGAGTTCAAGCCCCGTGACCAACAAATAGAAATAAAAATAGGGGCTGGGAAGGTGGCTCAATTGTAGAGTGCTTACCTCACACGCACGAGGCCCTGGGTTCGATTCCTCAGCACCACATAAGCAGAAAGAGCTGGAAGTGGTGCTGTAGCTCCAGTGGTAGAGCACTAGTCTTAAGCTGAAGAGCTGAGGGACAGTGCCCAGGCCAGAGTTCAGGCCCCATGCCCAGCAAAAAAATAAAATAAAATAAATAAATAAAAATAGACTGGACAACTCAAAAAAAGCAGAAGCCATAGCATAGGATAGGCATTTTCATATTTGTTAGAATCTGTACCATTCTTTGTTCAGCATTCAGAAGAGGGAAAATATCCAGCACTCAAAACTCATTAAAAGCAGTTCTGCATTAATGCTTCTCTGTCCAAGAAGAGTTTAGGAGATTCCAATGCAGCACCCACGATACATTCCCTTTTCCATTACTTACTCTTTTTTTGGTTGTGGGGCTTGAACTCTGGGCCTGGGCGCTGTCCCTCAGCTCTTCACTTCAAGGCTAATGTTCTACCACTTGAACCACAGTGCCACTTCCGGTTTTTCTGAGTAGTTTATTGGAGATAAGAGTCTCATATACTTTCCTACCCGGGCTTGCTTTGAACCATGATCCTCAGATCTCAGCCTCCTGCCTGAGTAGCTAGGATTACAAGCGTGAATCACTGGCACCCGGCTTTTTGTTGGTTTTTGTTTTAACTGAGAGGTGGCTCACTGGAGAAGGATTTGATCTAAGAGGCAGTGGATCATGGGCTCATTTTGGGTCAGGGTCAGTGCAAGATGCCTGTAAGATGTCCCAGCGAAGATGTTAGGTGAATTGTTTACTATGTGTCAGATGTAGGGAGTGATCTGGTCTTTAGCCATAGGTATAGATATCAGCAGGATCCAGCCTTCCGTTCACTCAGTAGGTATTTATTGAGTACCTGCTGTATGCAAGGCTGTCATAGGGATGTGAATATGTCAGTGAATAAGACACAGCCCTGCTCTTATGGGGCTGACCCTCTAGTTGGGAGTTGGTAGGATTCCTCAGGAATGAATTCATTAACAATGAGATGGTTAAAGGGGCCAAGGAAAACTCTGGAGCAACATTTTATGCTCAGGAGGAAGGGGTACTAAAAGATACATGGAAGAAGCAGTTGAAGAGAAGCCATAAGAGTATGATATTAGGGAAACCAAATGAAGTGACTTTGCTAGCTTAGGGAATAGACAGAGGAGAAGTCAATACATCCTGGAGGTCAGGTGAGATGAAGTTTAAAAATGTTCACTGGAGTTGGCATCACAGAGGCTCTTGACTTCCTTAGCTGCAGTCATTGCTGTGGTGTGGCTGGATATAAGCTACACCACAGTAGGTTGCAGAATGAGTGTCAGCTAAGGCAGCAGAAAAACGCTGGACAACTCTGGATAGGTTTGATGAGAAATAAGTGGGTAGGGGAGTTGGGAAGGGTTTTTCTGTTCTATAAAACTGAGAACATAGAAGTGGTGCTGTGGCTCAAGTGGTAGAATGGGCTCCTTGAGATGAAAAGTTCAGGGACAGTGCCCAGGCCCAGAGCTCAAACCTTACAACCAAAATAATAATAATAATAATGATAATAATAATATATTATTATTATATTATAATAAAATAATAACACATTCCAAACTGTAGCTCAATATAAGAAAAAAAACTGAGAACACTTATCCTGATTAGCTACTCACAACAAGAGTAGTAGATACACTGTTGTTGGTCCATGTGAGTTAGAATTCTTGTCCATACTTATTGACATTGGGGAAATTAATTTTCTTATCTCCAATGCCTTCAGCCAGGATGTAGTGATAAGAATTCAATGAGATAATGTATATAGATCTGACATACATTATTTTTCCTTCCAACATTCTTCCTGATGTCATACTTCAAGATCCAAGAGGGTTCAGTTTTGGGGTACCAGATGTGATATGTAGAAGTGTGGATTTCTAAGGGCCAGTAGTGGGGAAGTGAAAGAGAAATCTATAGGGAGACCTATGTAGCATAAAGCCAGGTAGAACATTCTCAGGGAAGAGGGAAGAGGAAAGCAGGCACTGCTGGTCAAGAGAGGAAGGTCCTAGAGATACTCTTGTAGGAATTCTGGATCTCCCAGAGACGGCCAAGATCTGTTCCAGAAGGCAAGTAGGGACCTCTCCTTGGGGAGTTAAAAATTAGGATTGCTGGGCTGGGAATGTGGCTTAGTGGTAAGTGCTTGCCTAGCATGCATGAAGCCTTGGGTTCGATTCCACATAAACAGAAAAAGCCAGAAGTGGTGCTGTGGCTCAAGTGGTAGAGTGCTAGCCTTCAGCAAAAGAAGCTCTGGGACAGTGCACAGGTCCTGAATTCGAGCCCCAGGACTGGAAAAAAAAACAGGCCTGGCGCCGGTGGCTCACACCTGTAATCCTAGCTACTCAGGAGGCTGAGATCTGAGGATCGCAGTTCAAAGCCAGCCTGGGCAGAAAAGACCATGAGACTCCTATCTCCAATAAACCACTAGAAAACCAGAAGTGGCGCTATAGCTCAAGTGGTAGAGCGCTCACCTTGAGCTGAAGAGCTGAGGGACAGTGCCCAGGCCCAGAGTTCAAGCCCCATGACTGACCCAAAAAAAAGGATTGCTATACATCCTGAGGGATTAATTCTTTGCCAGAAGCTTTAGCTTCTCACATAAAATTAGATGATCCCAACATTAGCGCTGGTGAAGTAGGGGCTCCTGATTACCTGCCTGCCTAGGATCCTGCTTTTATAGGGGCCTGAGGCATGTAGATCAGAGGTGAGTATTGGCCATCTTAGTGGGGAGATTGGGAACATCCAGGTAGTGGAGGACCAGGCCAGGTCACCATTCTAGGCAATGCTGTTTGTCAGATCTCTGGTGTTAGTACCTATCACAGATAGGGATAAAGCACTGATGACTCCTGTTCTTCCTGACTCTGAAATGGTGTTCCTTTCTTTAAAAAACCCGGTAGAAAGGATAAAAGTAGAAGGCTGTCCTTCTTGGGGGACTGTACCAGACTGTAGTAGAAGATAATTAAGAAGAGGAAATGAACATTTTTTATCCAACACACTGAGCTAAGCCCTTGTTAGATGTATCTGCTCATTTATCTTAGGTTTATAACAGATGTCAAAACAGAGTCTCAGAGAAGTTAAATAACCTTTCACAGGTCATACTACTGGAGAGTGATGAAGCACATTTTGAATAGGTCTGTGCAATTCTGAAACCAGTGTTTATACTAAGACTTGGGAATCTCTTTAACAAGTCTAGTTTAATTCACTCTGCCTTTTTTCCACTTGTCTTAAGCTTCCTCATGCTTCATACAACTTACCCTGGAGCTGAAGGCCAAGTTCTACAGTGGCTCTAGGTATGTATGGTTCCAAGTACGATTAAATACCAGGGGATAACAGTCTTTTTATTTTATTTTTTTTTGAGACAGTGTTTGAGACTGGCTTCAAACTTGTGATACTTTTTCTTCAGCTTCTCAAGTGCTGGGGTTATAGATGTGAACCACCAGCATTGTTCTCGATTGGACAAGTGGAAATTTCTGGCTAGTGTTTGAGTCATTGGACTCTGATATGGTTGACAGTGTCAGCATTGGATAGTCACTGATGTATGAGCTGGTAGTTGAATTTTGTCTGTTCTGGTAAGGCTATCATTCCAGGTGATGTATGAATGGCCACCTGTCACATCAAAATGAAAAGGGTTCCCAGAGATCATTTGTCTAACTTCTCATTTAAATGGGGGAAAACTAAGGCTTCAAGATCAGGAATACAATATTCATCAAGTTACCGTTGCTCCTAGTCCAATGATTTCAGGGTGAAACTTTCATTCAAAGTATAAGTCGCTGCCTCAGTGTCTGTCCATTTGTTTCTAGAGCAGCCTTCTGTACAGTCTCATACATGATTTGTTATCTATTTCTGTATTTGCTAAGAGAATTTTTTTTTTTTTGGTCAGTCACAGGGCTTGAACTCTGGGCCTGGGTGCTGTCCCTTAGCTCTTCAGCTCAAGGCTAGCGTTCTACCATTTGAGCCACAGCACCACTTCTGGTTTTCTGAGTGGTTTATTGGAGATAAGAGTCTCATGGAGTTTTCCTGCCCAGGCTGGCTTTGAACTGTGATCCTCAGATCTCAGCCTCCTGAGTAGCTAGGATTACAGGCATGAGCCACTGGTACACTGCTAAGATATTCATTTTTTTTTAAACTCAGGGCCTAGGCATTGTTCCATGGCTTTTATGCTAGAGGCTGGTACATTACCGCTTGAGCAACAACTCTACTTCTAGTATTTTGGCGCTTTTTAGAGATAAGAGTCTTGTGGAATTTCCTGCCCAAGCTGGCTTTGAACTGTGATCCTCAGATATCAGCCTCCAGAGTAGCTAGGATTACAGGCATGAGCCACCAGTTCCTGGCTGGAAACTCATTTTTATTGTCCACATCCTACAAACAAGTGTGGCTATCCTTCCACAGTTCCAAATAGAATATCCAACATTCAAGAGAGGATTCCAGAATCCATCTGGATGTATAATTATAATTATTATTTGATGGTACTAAGGTTTAAATTTAGAACCTTGAGAGGAGGCACAGAAATGGAGGGACAAAGGCTGACAAGCGCAACAGTGGTACTCAGTAGATACAACATGTGGGTGAGGGTGGGAGGAGGAAACAGGTTGAAAACCAAGGAAGTGGTGACATTGCTTAAAAAGAAGTATACTCCCTACCTGACTTATGAAATGATAACCCCTCTGTACATTACCTTAATAATAACAATTAAAAAATTATGCTGAGTGCTGGTGGTTCATACCTGTAATCCTATCTACTTAGGATGTTGACATCTGAGGGTTGCAGTTCAAAGCCAGCCCAGGCAGGAAAATATATGAGTCTCTTATCTCCAGTTAACCACCAAAAAACCAGAAGTGGAGTTGTGGTTCAAAGTGATAGGGCACTAACTTTGAACAAAAGAGCTCAGGGGTAGGACTGAGTTCAAGCCTCATGACTGACCAAAATAATAATAATAATAATAACAACAATAATAAATAATTAAAATTAACTTAGGACCTTGACTTAGCTAGACATATACTGTACCACTAGAGCCACTCCTATCTCTTCTCTTCCTTTTTTTAAATTTTATTTATTTTTCAGGTAGGGTCTTGAATTTTTTTCCCAGGGCTGCCCTCAGACCCCAATCCTGGTACCTCTGGCCTCCTGCATAGCTGGGATTATAGGCATGTAGTGGAGGTGTGATTTCATTAACTTTTTGCCTGGGTTATCTTCAAATTTGCATTCTCCTGATCTCTATCTCTTAAATAGCTGGGATTACAGAAGTGAGCTGCTGTGCCTGGCTAGAGTCCTAATTTTCTATTAGTCCTCAACCCTCTCCTGGCCCAAGGACATTAAAAAATTAATTATTAAGTAGTTGTGCATAGAGGGGTACGATTCCATAAATCAGGTTATGCGTACAATAAATTTTGACTGATGTCACCCCTTCCATTGTTCTCCCCCATAAATCTCCCTTCACTCCTGCCCTCAAGTTACGGTGTTCAATTTTTACATAATGTGTATTGAATATATAATGACTGCATTTGATCACCCTCCATCCCTCCATTGTCTTCCCCCCAAAAAAAGCCCCCAAACATGTTTATGCTTCCTGGTATTCATTTTGTTCAACAGTTCACTAGTTGTTCAGAGGAGTTATGCCTTTGGATTCCTCCTCTAAATGTGTATCATCCTTTTAGTCTGTATGTATATGTTATCATGTATGTTTGTATTTTAGATCTAGCTTCTATATATGAGAGAAAACGTGCTGTTGGTCTCTCTCAGCCCGACTTACTTCACTTAACATAATTTTTTTCCCAAGGGCATTTTTTTTTGGGGGTCCGGTCCTGGGGCCTGAACTCTAGGCCTGGGCGCTGTCCTTCAGCTCATCAGCTCAAGGCTAGCGCTCTACCACTTGAGCCACAGTGCCACTTCCGGCTTTTTTCTTTTTGCTTATGTGGTGCTGAGGAATTGAACCCAGGGCCTCAGACATGCAAGGCAAGCGCTCTACCACTGAGCCACCTTCCCAGCCCCCCAAGGGCATTTTTTTGTTTGTATGGTTAGTAGCCTGCCTTGATTTATTTTTTCAATGTTTTAGTAAATTTATATAGTTTGAGTGCCTCCGTTATAACTATGGGCATCAGTTTCTATACTGATTTTTCATAACCGCCTTAGTGCCTACTGTAGTGTGACCATATTATAACTTCACAGGGTTCTGGCACAAAACAATGCCTTCAGGCACATGGCAGGGACAATGCTATCCGAGCCAAAGACTCAACACTGTCTTTTGTTTTGTCTTCTCTCAGTGATTCAAGCCTAAATCAAGTATGTTCCAGTTTCCTCTACTATATGTGCCTTAACCTCCTTTCAGCTCCAGAGAAAACAAGACCACCTTCCCAAGACGGTGAGATCATATCGTTTGTCCATTCACAAGGCTGATAGCAGTCTTTAGGCGCTGATGCATAATGAATCCATACAGTAATAAAATCTCATTGCTTGAAGTTGCCTAAAGGAATCATGGAATTATAGGCTGATACCTAAGGAGATAAAATAATAGATTCAAAAAAATATAGAATCTAAGCTTCAGGAACCTACATGACTTTCCCTATTTGTTCTTTTATGAAACAGATTTCTTAAGAAATGTAGGAATCTTTGCCTTCAGGATAAAATCGAAGTTTCTTTTTCTTTGGGCTTTGGTTTGAGGTGAGGTCTTTCTATGTATTCTAGGCTGTCCTCAAATTTGTGATCTTCTTGCCTCAGCCTCCTAAACCCTGGGGTTATATGCACATATTACCATACCTAGCTAAAATCTATGTTTTTTTCTTTTTGTGCGTAGTGGGACTTGATCTCGGGGCCTTACACTATTGCTTGGCTTTTTAACTCAGGGCTCACATTCCACCACTTGATTCATACATACCTCCACTTCCAAAAATCTAAATTTTTTAAACCAGCATTTAATGTTTTTCACAGTACAGCTGAATTATATCACATAATTCCATACCTCCTGGCTCATCATATTTGTTTACTAACTATTCAGTCACATGGAACAAAAACATACTGTATCCTCTCATGCTTCTTGGCATCTAAACACCTTGCTTCCTGTCTCCTGTACTTCTTTCTCTTCTCTACCTGTTTTCTGCTCACCACTACAATTCCCCTTTGAACTTCCCCTCCCCACCTCAGGTGACTTAAGTCACTTCTTCCATACTGGAGCATGGCTCTGATTATATGCCCTGCAATTATCTGATTGCAGGTGGGAAGAGAGATAGGACCTGAGCTCAGCCTGGGCTAGAATGAATATACATACACCAAATTAATGAATTGTATCATGTCCTTTTACACGATAACTTTAGTCTCCCCTTGCAGGCTGAAAACTGCATAAAGGAAAGGGAATGAACCTCTGATGTTCTCTATACTGCATGTATGCGGTATTCTTCATGTAGTAGCTCTCATGTGCTCCTTACTTACATTTTTGTGTTCTCTGTATGGTCTCCCCCTGCTGTGTCCTCCCAGAACTCTCTGCAGTATCTGAGCTCCTGCAGTATGGTCTGCCCCAGATAAGCAGCAGGACCCCTGAAAACCTTGCCTTCCTATCTGATCGTCAATATGTGGAGGAAGCTGCTCGCCAGAGGCAGTACTGCATCCTGATTCTCTTCTACCTGGCCTGTATCTACGAGGACAGGTATGTTCAGAGCTGGTTGTATGTATAAACGTTTCCATTTGTAGCCCAGTTCGGTACAATGAGCATTTTCGGTACAATGAGATGTCCAGTAGGGCTGAGGCTGAGTGCTGGGACACAGAGAGAGTGAGAAATTCGTTGTGTTCTTGAGAGACTTATATCTTGGAAAGGAAGCAGACACAGTGCTGAGTGCAAGAGACCTAGAATGTTAAAAAGTGTTCTTTGATATTTTTGAGGATGTTTGTGCACAGAAAAGAAAGTAAAAAACACTTTTCCCTCTTTCTTCTCCTTTTCCAGTGTAGGTACTGGGGCTTGAACTCAGGGCTTCACACTCTCACTAAAAAGGCTGACACTCTAACACTTGAGCTATACCTCAACTTTGGCTTTTTGGTGGCTAATTGAAGATAAGATAGAAGATAAAAAAATTCTTATTTAAAAAGTAATATTTATTATGAAAAGCAAAGTAATTAAGTATAAAGTTAAAATGTACATACTGTCGTTAATTATTATTATGTTTCATAAATAATTTGTCAATGCATATACAAGCACATCTAGTGTGTGTGTGTGTGTGTGTGTGTGTGTGTGTGTGTTGATTCTAGGTATTGAACTCAAGGATTGGGTGCTGTCCCTAAATTTCTTTGCCCAAGGCTCTAGCACTTTACCATTTGAGTCACAGCTCTAGTTCTAGCTTTTTTTGGAGATAAGAGACTCATAGGCTCTTCTGCCTGGGCTGGCTTTGAAACACGATCCTTAGATCTCAGCCTCCTAAGTAGCTATGATTATAAGCATGAGCCACCAGCACCCAGATTACTGCTTATTTTTTTGGGGGGGGGTCTGGTCGTGGGGCCTGAACTCTGGGCCTGGGTGCTGTCCCTCAGCTCTTCAGCTCAAGGCTAGT